ATTCCAACCCCGGCCGGAGCGAGGCTTTGCTGAGAAAGAGGGCAACAGCGCAGCTCCTCCTGGTCGGTGCCGTCTCGCCTGTAAGGCTGCGGCGAGGATAGTGATCTTGCGCTGCTGGCTGGTATCCACTCGCTTGGCATTGCTTCGAAGCACGGTTTTGTAACGGGAGGCATGTTCGGTTGGTTGGTTGTTGCCAGGTGACAGTCGTCGACGCAGGGACGGATCATGGTACAAACGAGAATGAGAATGACAGATATGAGCGAGCGGACGACAGTCCATCGCGGTCTGAACAATTTCAGGGACGGTATTCTTGCTGGTCCTTCGTCGACTCTAGTACTGCTACTGTAGGTAGGAAAAAAGGCCGGCACGCCATCAGTTGACGATTCATGCCCGTGCTTACAGATAAAGCCAACCGTATGAGTACGTGCCATGCCGTTCTCGAGTACCAGTTGAGTACCCCTGAATAAGCATTCCGTAGTACACAACGTAATGGTGTAGGGACCTTTCAGTTCGTACACAGGTAAGTGTGCTACTCAACTTTTTTAGATTGGTGAAAGGCTTACGAAGTGCTGCTCCAAGTAACTGAAGTTCTGATAACTCTTAGAAAATCTTAATATCCTCTCTGCCTAAGCTCATTTGAGATCCTTTGATCCACACGCTCCTGAAGTGGTGTATCACACGTACTGGTCCACTAAGATAAGGTGGCCCACTAGGCAGTGTGGTGGGTTGGGTCGAATGGGTGGAGGTGAGGAAGAGCTAAGCTCACATGTTCGTCATTAACAGCAGCAGCAGTGCATGAAGAAACATAAAGAATAGGCGACGCAGTGGGCTGGGCCATGCCTTTCCACAAATCAGCACGAGCCACCGCGTCCTCTTGCCGTCCTGCCACCGGCCGATTCTCCTCTCACGCGCCCACTCTGCGTTTTTTACCTAAACAAATCATTTACTGTGGCCACTCCTCCTGTTGCCATTAAATTGCATAGCTGTTGCCCTGTTTGTTAGACTAGCCACAATGCATAATAACATAGACTAGTAACATACACATATTTCTAGACTATGTTACTAATATAAGTGTGGTAACATACAAATCTTCATTTATTAGGTTATAGACTCATATTGCATTGGGACATGTGATGTTACAGTAACTAGCTAAGTTACTGTAACTACCTCTCTCCTCATTAACTCATTGCCACATAAGTAAATTTGCTGAGTTAGACTCGATGTTACTGCTGAAGTTACTTTCATTGTGGCTAGTCTTATGCGCAATATCTATGGGTGTACTGCTAAGACCACGTAGTAAGAGCATCTCCAATAGCAAGTGTATATTTGGATGTCTATATATTCATATAGACAATGGTCTAAAAAGATTCCCTCATATACACATCCAATTTTGCATCAAAACGTCTATATACAGGGACCATGACAGATGGGCCGTTGCTGGGGAGAGGAAGAAATCACGACTACGGCTGAGTTTAGACAACACCTTCACATTGTCCAGGCGTGGACATTGTCGAGGTCGATTTAGAGGATGTGTATATTTGGACGATCATATAGACAAGCTGTTGGACGCCTGTTTTGGTCTCACGTCGTGAAAAACGAGTATAGACATCCATATAGACAAGCTATTGGAGATGCTCTAAGAGAGGCCAAACACACGGCTGGAATTCTATGGCTGTCAGGCTTATTTCTCTTCCTTTTTCTTTGTTTTTGTTGTACATATTTTTACCGAAAATTGCTTTTGAAGGCCGAGCTCCATGGAGGGCTCCATCTGCAATTTTCAAAATTCATACTTCTACGTTCCAATTTTTTTTGAAAAAATATACAGATACACATGGAGACATAATGTACATGTGTGTAATTTTTTTTAGCGAAATACGTTGAAACGAGGGTTGTACAAAAAAAATCAGGGGCTTTTTAGCACATGATACTATTCATCCTCAAAGTCCATGAATTTGTTTTTTTTGTATAGATCGCATTTCAAGGTATTTCATTCTGAATGTTTACACACACATATACATTTCATCCTTATATACTTGTATTTCTTCTTCATGTTTGTTTTGAAATCGGGAAATTTAAATTTTGAACAAAATTTCGGGTGCCATGGAACCTTGTAACCAAAACGCCCCACTCATATTTTACTTCATATAATAATTATACCATAGAATGATTGTTCTATCGTTTCTGGATAAAAAAACAACACATCAGGAATATGCCAACGAATCGAGCAAGTGTTGTCGTAATGCTAGTCAAATTGCACTCTAGAAGCATGAAAATAAATTTTCACGGGGTGTTCTTCTAATGATCTCCTCTCCTCATAATGAGGTGGTAATAAACATACACTTTTATTGAAAGAACGAGAAGGTGTTAATGACGTAAAATCATACCCAAGATGTGTTTTCCTTTAATTGTTTTAAAAACATATGAGTTCCTAGTTCCAATAAACAGTGCAAAAGAGGAGTTTGGGCCCGATAAAACTGATATAAATTATGATTAATTTGTGATTTTGCACATAGCACCAATCCTTAACGAAATGGAGAACTTAGTAAATGATAACCGTGATGTCCTCGACGCAAGTGCACCATCAAACATAACCAAAGCAGGCCTTTTTACACGAACCTCTCTATCTAGTTATGCGTAGGCATATGCCTAATTGGTGAAAAATCCATGCATGCTTTTAAGGTTTTAGTTATCAATAGGGCTCCAGTAACACATGAATTGAAAAACCTTGCGATTGTCATGTCATGTTCATAAATTGTTTTATCCTACAATGGAGAAAACAAGTGCGTAGAAACCCTTCTCGTGGAATGAAATCTAACTTAGCAATCATCCACATGGGAACTCCTTTGACAATCATAATCTTAAAAAATTCTATGGAAAATTTAAGAGTTCCCTAACATCAAACACCACCTTTTGTTGTTAGCCCTGGTCATCGCAGTCACTCCAAGGTAACACCACTTTGATATGTATTGCATCAATAATCTGCTAGTTAAACAAGTGATGGCCCCAACACATTTCGAGGAGAAGCATCTAGCTTTGGGTTCTTATGGCATTTCACCCTAATCGTAACTCATCCATTGGTTCTTCAACGTCAGGTGGTTCATACGCCGGTTTAGTTTTGTCGTGGCTTCATCCTGGACATAGATAGATCGCCGGGGCTCAGGTCTATAATCAGCGACAATCACCCTATTAAGGCCGCGTTCGGTTTCCCTATGCTCCATGGCTTCGCTCCCGGAGCGGTAGTTAAAATCCTTGGATTCAGCAAACAGCTGCTCTGCAGATTCTAGAATTTGAGGAAGTTGGTGGACTACCGAACGCGCCCTAACATTCACATAGAACAAACAATGAAAAAATCAGAAAAAAAACAAAAGAAATAAAAGCACAGAGATAATAACAGCATGGTGGTTGACTAGAGTTATAGTCCACGAGTATTTTAGCAAAGCATCATTAAGAAAACATGCACGATATACATCGATGGTATTACTCGTGTAGGGGATCTACTCCAGGAGGATGGCCTTTCGTGGGACAGAAACAAGTTACAAGAGATGTTCCCACCGGATGAAGCGAACGAGATACTACAAATTCCGGTGGGAGGGCATGAGGTTTAGGATTATTTGTCATGGAACTATACTAAAAACGGTATCTTCTCCGTTCGATCAGCGTACCATCTACGGATGAGCCAAAAGAGGTTAAGATCCGGACGGCCGGAGTCATCTTCCTCGGTGGCAGATCACAGGGCATGGATAAACCTGTGGGATACAGTGGCGCCGGGCAAAGTAAAGATCCATATGTGGCGTCTGATCAGGAACGGGCTGGCGGGCGGAGCTGAACTGTTGAGGAGGAAGATCAAGCAGGGCGTCTTCTGTGTTGTGTGCGGCAGGGAGGAAACGATTCACCACCGCTTCTGGGGCTGCTATCATTCGGCAAAGTTCTGGAAGATAATGCATTCGGAGTTGGGGGTACCGGTGGCGATCCCGCCGGAGTCAGTCTACCCCCAGAGTGCGTTGTCGAGGTGGCTTCTTACGTGGTTCGAGAAGGCGTCTGATGATGAACGCGCTGTTATGGTGCAAGGAACATATGCGCTATGGCTTGCAAGAAACAATGCTCGAGATGGCAAGCGTATCGAAGATGCGGAGGAGATTGCGCGCAGGGTTTTTCAACTCATGGGCGAGTGGCAAGGCATACATGGTCGCAAAAGCAAGCAGGGCCAGCTGGCGGTGAAGGAAAGGTGGCGGCCCCCGGAGGAAGGATGGGCCAAGGTAAATGTCGACGGAGCTACGTCCAAGGGGGGCGAGACTGGGGGTGCTGGGATGATTTTCAGAAACCATGAAGGCGCCTACTTGGGTGGAGCGTGCTACGTCCTCCCACTGGGGAGTGATCCGGCGAGGGTAGAGCTTCTTGCATGCAAAAGACCTGCTCAGATGGCGCTTGACCTGAACATAGCCAGGATCCACATCGAGATGGACTGTAGAGAGATTGTTGGCAAACTTCAAAACAAGGAGAAAGATCTCTCAGTGCTAGGGCCGATAGTGGAGGATGTCAAGCACTTGCTGGCGACGAGGGAAAGCTGGAAAGTTTCGTGGGTACGACGGGAAGCTAACAGAGTGGCTCATTCGTTAGCTAGAGAGGCGGTAGTAAATAATCTTTGTAAGGTGTGGCTTCATATGCCTCCAGATTTCATTTTGCACTTTGTCGCAGACGAGATCCCTGAGTGGGAGGGTTAAATAAAGTTGTGATGAGTTTCAAAAAAAAGAAAAAAGAAAACATGCACGAGTGTTGGCCATAAAAAACCTCACAGCTTCCAAGGGCTAAAATGAAAAAACAAACAACCCTCCTTCAAATTCCAAACCTCGCAACCGAAAAAGGGTGAAAAACCAAAACGAAACGAAACTAGTCCAGCTAGGGCCACACGCTTCCCCCCGCCCCGCTCCCAAACTGAAAACCAAACGAGTCCCCATCTCGGCATCTCCTCCCTCTCTATCTTCCCCATCTCCGGCTTCCCCATGTGGCTGCCCTGGGTCAAGACGCGCTCCTCCTCCCCCACCTCCGCCTCCACCTGCTCCTCCACGGCGCTCGCCGCCGCCTCGCCGCGCCTCTCCTTCAACTCGCCCTCCCTCAAGGATCTCCAGGCCCTCCTCCGCTCCGACCCGGCCGCGCCCTCCCCGTCCCCGCCGCAGCCGCCGCACACGGCCCCGTGCTCCCCCTCCGCCGCCCGAGTCTTCCACCGCGTCCGCATCGCCGCCTCCGCCCTCCGCGCGCTCCGCACCCTGCAGGCGCCGCCGCCCGCCGCCGAGGCGGACCGCCGCGTCGTGCTCTACTACACCTCCCTCCACGTCATCCGGGGCACCCACGAGGACTGCCGCGCCGCGCGCGCCATCCTGCGCGGGCTCCGGGCCTCCGTCGACGAGCGCGACCTCGCCATGGACGCGCGCTACCTCGAGGAGCTCACGGCGCTGCTCCCGCGCGCCCGCCGGATCACGCTGCCCCAGGTCTTCGTCGGCGGCCGCCACCTCGGCGGCGCCGAGGAGCTCCGCCGCCTGCACGAGTCGGGCGAGCTGCGGCGCGTCGTGGCCGGCGCCGCGCCCCTCGCCGCCTGCGCGCGGTGCGGCGGCGAGCGCTACGTGCTGTGCGGCAGCTGCGACGGGAGCCACAAGCGGTACAGCCTCAAGGGCGGCGGCGGGTTCCGCACCTGCGCCGGCTGCAACGAGAACGGCCTCGTCCGGTGCCCGGACTGCTCCCCGCCGGCCGTCTGATCCAGATTCAAAAAGGTTCCAATCCACTGATGACTTGTACTCAGTAGTACTAGATTTTAATTTCCTAGTTGTACCAAAGTCGAGATAAGAAATGGGCTCTGCGTGTAGTCTTTACTACTACTGCTACATGATTTAGTGTAACTGGTGTCTGATACAGTACCGTGTGATGAATTGGGAGTTGCAAGTTTTCAGCATTTCCAAACCAAACACCTCTAGTGGCGCATTATGCTGTGTTGCGTATACTACTTACTTTCTCTTAAGTCTGAATCTGAGTTTGTTCTATGACCCTAGTAAATGATTGATAAATGTTAGTACTACTGCTCACTACTCTACTCTAGTAGTAGAAGTTTAATGTTGCTGCTTATTGGTAGAAGTTAAGAAAAGATTGTCCTGTGAATTGTACTGTACTGCAAGGCTACTGGCATATGCAAGGCATGAGCCCTTTGCACTGTTTTTTTTCTGCTTTTCGTCAAAATGCTCACCGTGCCTGATGATGGAGTTGAATGGTTGGTGTATGTGGTTTGCTTGTTTGTTTGCGGAGGGGCACTGGTCAAGTTTCTAAAAAGCTGCCACATGCCATGCCTGAATTTACGACGCTGGGCCGCAGCAGCGGCAGCTAGCTACTTGTGGAGCTCGCGCGCCCCTTGCCGAGATCTTAGGCAAGATCTTACGGCTGCTACGCCGGAAAAGCGGTCTCGCTGGAAAAGCTAGCGTCTCGCTCAGGACACAGGTAGAGGCTTTTCTTGGATGCTCCCTTTTCTCTCGCCGGGGAGGAAAAAATGGAACGGAGCTCGTGCGGCGTTTTGAATGCCATCTGCTGATTGGTATGGTAAAGTAAAGTGGCCGTTGGATAGGACTGATAAGATCTGATTGGCCTAGTAGTACTTAACTCCAGAGATCATTCATTCATCAACCGGTGAGTGAGAAATTATTTGTAGTAGGCCGGGTTTTCCTTGCCACATGAAGAGCCATGATTAGTGGCGCCACTTTGTACATGAGTACGTACAAGCCGGGGATCACGACCGGTGACGCATGATTCTTGTGCAGTCGCGCTCTTCGCCCTGTCGACCGTGAGCTGTCGAAGTTCAGAGCAGATTATGCAGATGCACGAGTGATCATGTGGACGCCGATGAGAAAGGCGGAAGGCGGCGAATCGGTCAATCATGTGATGTGATTGCCACGCCTCGTCGCCACTTGGAAGTTGGAGCTGTGCGTGCGCCGGGAGGAGGACGCCGCACCGGCCGGCGTCGCGTTGTGCATGGACGCGTACGCCTGGAGCTCGAGACGACGATGAGGGAGGGCGCACGACCCACGTGGTGGGACGCGGCGATCTCAGGCCAACTCCACCACACCACCCCAAACAGACATTCGTTTTGTCCGGATTTCGTTCGTTTGGGATGGCAATGGGGACGTGAACGGACATGCGTGTCCGGCTTATGTTCGAGGCGCCCATCGCGGCAGAGCGACCCAAAAACGTCCGCCCCACCGCCCCAGAAATCTCGTCGCCGTGCCGCGCTCGCCGAGCCTGCCCGCCCACGCCGTCCCGCTCCCCCTCCTCCCCCGACCACCGCTCCCCACGGCGTCGCCCAGCCGCTCGTGGCCCCGCCCCCGCCCCCGCTGCACGAGCTGGAGCGCGTGCGCCGCGTCGTGGGTGAAAGTGCAGCGGCAAGCGCGCACGCCCGCCGTGCCCGTTGGGCAGCAGCAGCCGGGCAAGGCTGTACGCGTCCGCAGGTCGCCTGCCGCCTAGCACGCCCGCGGCTCGCACGCTTCTCCCCGCGTCGCCTTGCCACGCTCGCCGCCGGCCCTGCCTCGCCCTGACGACGAGCGTGATGGGATCGTCGGGTTCTTGTCCACGGGAGCTGCTGTACGTGGTCGTGGGCGCGGCCATCGCCTGGTGCGCCGTGCGGGCGCTGGAATGGGAGTGGTGGAGGCCTCGGCGCCTGGACCGCGGGTTGCGGTCGCAGGGCCTCCGCGGCATGCCGTACCGCTCCGTGGCCGGCGACGCGCCGCTGGCCGAGAGGCTCATCGAGGAGGCGAGGTCCCGGTCGATGCCGCTGGGC